CAACCTTTTGACACTGAAATATGAGGCTATCATCTCTAAACACATCCGGGTGCACTCATAGCTAGGCTGGGATCAAGCAGCCCCTGGGCTGCAGGACAGACAAGCCTGACACAGACTATGCAGATACAAGACAATTTCCTAATCTCTGGCAGCTAGGTGTCAGTACTACACTCCCAAGGACATAGTATATTACACCATGCCTATATGCCCGACTATACAGGAGGGGAACTTTTACTGAGTTCAAACAGTTATTGAGCTTTGGGGAAGTTATTAGAAAAGAAGGGCTTCAATGTACAGAACCTATACAGAAAAAGCCCAAGCATGAAGTACTGATAGGCAAAGAATCCCTAGACTGACTCTTGACAAGGATGGAATCTGTGTTCTGATACTTACCTCATAAAATAACATGAGGATGTACCTAGCCACAGAAAGTAATAGAAGAGGCGCCTTGCCACGACCTAAATGCTTCCCAGTTTGCCCTGGCATCTCATCTGCTCAGTGGTCTTCTTAATCCTAAAATGACGGCTCACACACAGCTTCAGATTCCCTTAGATACTCTTGTCTGTGTTCTACAGAAACACAGTGCGGCTCTCCAAATGTAACTCAAGGATGAAGCAGCCTACCATCCTCTGTCAAATGAGACTCTGCTTCAGCAGTGTGGTGTGGCTGGAAGTTGAAAGAACAGGAAGAGAAGCAGAAGCCTATAAAAGAAGAGAAAAAACTAGCCTACCACCCTTCCAACTTTAGAAACTCAATGAGAAGAGGAGGCAGCTAGAAGTAAGGCTTAGAGGAGGACAAATTCAGGGCCTGGTGTGGTTGCTCATGCCTACTAGCTGGCATAGCACTTAGTGTTGTGATTTTTTTAAAGTGGCACATGAGAGAAAGTTGCCATGGGACAGAGCTCAAGTGCAAGTTTTTTTGTTTTGTTTTTTACTAGGGAAAGGGATCATAGAAGGGAAAAGGGGAATGAGGAGATTGGCCTCCCAGGACAGGAGCATGGGGAGAGAGCAAGGAGAGTGGGGGGAGGGGGACAGAGAGGCAGAGAGATGGAGGGGACAGGAAGTAAGTAGGGCCCTTTTAAAAGGGAACATAATGAATGTGCACAGATGGTGCTTTAGTGACTGAGCTGAGGATGTATCCTGTCAGAACCCCAAGGGCAGGCCTAGTACAGATGCTGAATACTAATACTCAGGAGTTGATGCCTCCTGGGTTTGAGGCAGTTTTAGGCTACATGGTGAATTCTAGAACACATTGAACTATACAACAAAAACTTGTCTCAAGAAGCACCCCATCAAAAAATATAAGGAAAATTCTGATTTATGATTACTTAACAGTTTAATATTTGAATCTCTATGACCTAACACATAGTATAACAAGAAAAGGTTTACTGAGAAAAACCTGCTAGCCCAGAAAAACTGAAAAGCTAAGTTAGAAACAATATATCTTGGGGCTAGAGAGTTTACAGTGGCTGCTTTCCCAGAGGATCTACATTCGGATTCCAAGCACCCATACGGCAGCTCAGAACTGTCTGTAACTCCAGTCCCAGGTGACTCAACACCAGCTTCTGGCCTCTGTGAGTACCAGGCACACAGAGGATCCACAGACACTAATACAGGCAAATATGTGTACACAAGAAAAAACCAACATAATCCAATGTTTTAAAAGCTTCTTACACCTTTATTTATTTTTTTACTGTTCAATTTGATAAAACTTCATACTATCTGAAAGGTTCAGGCATTACTCTGGCCTGCCCTGTTACCTGGCAGGATACACTCAGGCAATACTCTGGCCAGCCCAGAGTTCCGTGAGAACCATGCAGGTGCAAAGGACCCCTTTAAAGGACTGATTCCTGCCCGTTTATGCTCTCTTGCTCTTGCTCTTACTCTCTTTCCCTCTTACACTCTTACTCTCATCTTACTCTGTCTCTCTCTGCGTCTCTCTCATATCTTATCTCTCTCTCTCTGCTCTGCACGGGTTGGTTACCTCTCACCCCCCTTTCCCCTCCCTGTCCACCAATAAACTCCACGTGGGATCGTTGAGTCGCGGTTTGTGTCTCCTTACTGGATAAACCTAAACATTTTAACAACACTATCCAAACTTCATTTTATTTACTAGAATGGTTAAGATGGCACTGAAGTTGTAGTAGCTCTTTGGTCACAGCACTGGCCTACCATGGGGATTTGGTTCAATCCCCAGCATCAAAGCCAACCACACGCAGCCGGGCGGTGGTGGTGGCACACACCTTTAATTCCAGCACTCGGGAGGAGACGCAGGTGGATCTCTGTAAATTGGACACCAGCCTGGTCTACAAGAGCTAGTTCCAGGACAGCCTCCAAAGCCACAGAGAAACCCTATTTTGAAACCCTCCCCCAAAAATACCAAAACCAACCACACACACATACATGCACATGTACATAAAGCTAGGATAGTGAAGGTTTACTAAAATTTTATTTCCCAGATTACAAATATGAACACATGAGACAATTTGAGTCCTGGGGAACTTCTACTGGCCTAATGTAGCCTCCTCTGATAACATTTTTTAAGAGTACATTAAAAAAAATCGTCACACAGAAACCAATTATATTAAAGCCTTATATAGTGATGCATACCTATCATCTCAGCACTTGGAAGGCTGAAGGAGGACTATAAATTTGAGGTTAGCCTAGGCTACAAAGGAAGACAAATAAATAAATAATAAAATTATAGGAGTATACTACATTTGTGATCATGGACCAACAAAGAATTGGTAAAGAGCTGGGCATTGGTGGTGCATGCCTTTAATCCCAGCACTCGGGAGGCAGAGGCAGGCAGATCTCTGTGATTTCAAGGCCAGCCTGGTCTACAGAGTAAGTTCCAGGACAGCCTCCAAAACAATAGAGAAACCCTGTCTCAAAAAACAAACAAACAAACAAAAGAATTGGTAAAGAATATTAATTAACTTGGAAAAGAATAGTACAAACGTGTTTGCCTTTCCTATCTATATAGTATATATAGTATATAGTATATATAGTATTCCTACTATTAGAAAAGAACAGTAACTTTCGAAGGTTAGGGTGTTATATAAAGTTACTTAAAATTTCAATAGCTTGTAAGGAATTTTTACTTATGACAGAGCAGCTACACCTATGTCTTGTTTCTATTATATATGCATATTGTAAACAAACACCTTAAAAATTATTTCTATACAAAGTTAATAATCTACCATACCAATACTACATTTGTATTCTCACTAATCTCTGCTTATCCAAGATGACACGTCTTTCCTTAAGGCAAGATCTCATGAAGAGCTTCATATCTTAGCACACTGTGTTCAAAATGTTTGCACATGCAATATATAAGCTACTAAGCTTTCTGCAGATTGTCATTAGGGTCTATAATTAGGATATACCTTATAGTTAAAGCTGTGAAATAACAAGTCTGCTAAGCATTTTAGTAACTCAACACCTTTGCCAGTTAACATAAACGACTAGTGTATGGAGATAAAATGTATTTTCAGAAAGCTGGAGAGTCAAGCAACAATCATTCCTTCTACAACTAGAGTTCCAACAAGTCTTGGAATGGAAGCAACTGACTTTAGCTTCTAAAAGTGCACTATCACCTCTTAAACCAGGTTAAGTTTCTTTTCAACCTCTAGCTTTGTCCTGTTAAAACAAACTTCCAAGCCCTTGGACACCAAAACTGCATTTCTTGACCCTACAAAGTGAAGATAAACTTTGGATAGTAAACAATATAAAACGTATCTTGAATAAGACAGTACATTCTGAAACTGGAGGGGCATTGTGGGCTTTCTTTTTTAGAAAATGTGTCCAACCACTAAAACGACAAACTCTTATTTAAAAAACTTGCGACGTCTTCGTCTTTCAGAGAAAACAGTAACGAACTGCTGGTGTCAATTGCCACGAGGTGGATAGGTCCTACAACTTTATGAATTAAAAAAAAATCGTAGGGAAAAGGCTTGCTGTGAGGAGGGGCATCTCCTGCTTTTTTACACTTTGAGAAAAATACATAATTATCGTTGGCTTGATTTACAAACTAAATAAATCGCTTTCACAAGTGTATAGACAATAATCGTGACCCTAAACAAATTGTCCAAAGGAGCTCATTTTATAAAAGCCTCTAAAAGACAAGGCAAAAACCTTAGTTTCCATACTACAGCTCCCACCCATAAGTCTATTTGGAATTCTGACAAAAGCAGATAAATCATACAGTACATTTGAGGAATGTTCTCTTCATTTTTTCCTATCAATTTTTCTTTAAGAAGCTGAAGTATCGTCATCACAGACCAGAAAACACAACTGACAAGTTACCAATTTAACCAATTTTTTCCACCATAACTTTGTATCAACAGTTTGCCACACCTTTTAAATGTGAAAATTAGCATGCTTCAGTGCTAACTACAAAGGACTTTATTTCAAAAGTAGCCTAGAAAATATCGCGTTGGGGGGGGCCGGGGGAGATTTCCAGACCTGGAAAACTGCGAACAGATAAGGACCTGCGGTTACATTTTGCAAGCATTTATCAGGTCCTGCATGGATAAAGCAAACCTCTTGATAATAACAAAACCTCCAAACAGGCTCAGATTGCAGGCTTTCAGATCCTCCCAGTTACACCTGTGCAGGCACTTCCTGTTCTCCCGCGCCACCGACCAGTAGTTTGGGTAATTGTACCGTAAAGCGCCGTTTAGAAGCTAAACATTAACTTTGTCCATCTCTGTACAGCTACTGAGAAACCCCCACCCCAAGATTCTATCACATCCAATCCAGTCTGCTCCCCCGAGGAGGGACGCCAATCATGCTGGAGCCCCGGAGCAGGCAGAGTGCCCTGCGACAGCAGGGCTGGACCGTGAGGGACAGGAGCCGGGACAGCACATCCCGACCCAGCCGGATCCCGCCCTCAGCCCGCGGCCACCCGGGTCAGCACGCCCGATCGGGCGAGCCGGTTGCAGGCCGAGGGGGCGCGGGTCCTCCGCCCTCCGCCCAGCGTGGGCTCCCGACACTCACCCCAAGCTCTACCTCCCGAGCGCCGCAGCCTTCCAGTCCCGCTGGCCCGCCTCCGCCTCACGCCGACACCCACAACGTCGTGACAGCCGAAACGACACGCAGAGAGGCAGACGGCCACGGCCGCTCTCCGCCGCCCGCCCGCGTGGAGCATGCGCGCACACGGGACCCAGGGGCCGGTCTGGCCAGTGACACCTGCGATCAACAGGTCTCTGGACCCCGCCCTCCCTCGCCGCGTCGGGATGCCCCGCCCCTCGCGCCGGCCCCCGCCTTCCCGTCGCGCCCCGCCCCCGCCCGTGAATTCCCAGCCTTCCTGCGGGTGATGCTCCGTGTCCGCGGGCCTCCGTGTGGCGCGAGATCCCGCGAGAGCAGGACTTGGGCTTTTTTTCCATCCCCGTCGCGGGGGTGGCGCTCGCTGTGAGGACGGACGTGGAGGTTCCTCGAGCGGCCGTGTGGGTCTGGGCCTGGGAAGGTTCCCGCGGCAGACGTGGTGGATGTGCTGTTCTGCGCCTTGGTTTGCGGTTTTGTAATCCGAGTGCGGGTCCTGCCGGAACTGAGCCGTGGCGGGGTCGGCGCCCCGGGGTTCTCAGGGCTCCTGGGAGTCGGTACGGCTTGTTTGCAGTTGAATGGTTTCCACCGGCGTGAATGTTATTTTCCCTAGCCGGTGGTTTCGTGACCATTAATAAAATGAAAGGCTTAACCAGCGCCTTGACCCGGTTAATCTTTGTCAGAAAATTTGGCAGTTTCGTTTCCGTGTTTTGGAACAGGTTTTAAGTTGCAAGCTGCTATTGAGAACCGGGCTAGCCTTTGTTTGAAAAATTTGTCTTAGGGATAATAGCGAAAAGGAAAAACAAAAACAGAAAGCCTATCTGGCCACCAAGATCTCTCAAAAGTAGATGTAGTTTTGAAAGATGTTTCCAGAGCCGGCGTATGTAGAACATAGTGATAAAAATAGACGTAGGTAAACTCATAGGTGACTCCTAAGTTCATCTAAAGAAACAGGATGAGGCAACCTTGGAAGTTGATAGGTGACATGCGGTGAGTTTATTGTGCTTGAAACTGGATCACTGAGAATTTATTGAACGTTTACCACATAAGAGAAGTGAAATAAAATGAAGCTACAGACGCCGTCCTCCACGTTAAAAATTGGAGTGGAGGGAAACCAGCCGCACCTACCTCTCTGATACACGTTAATCATTCTTCTCTGTGACCCATAGTTTTCTGCACTACATCTTAGGTCGCCTCTTTCCCCATCACGGACATTATATCCAAAGCACTCTCGGGTGTGCATTTTCATGTTGGATCCCCCAACTGTCGATTTGGATTTTACTTTAGTGCCTTAAATATGTCCTAAAATAGACTCGGACATCTTTATCTTACCCTGGTATCAGGTTTATCCCCCACCATCTGTACTTCAAATAATGGCACCCCACTGTCCTCCTTTATTCTATCTACACTATTGCCAAGTCATATGAACTCTTACCTCCCTTAAGTATCTCTCAAACCTGTTGTAACTCACTCATCCTTCCGGTGATCGGTTTATCTTCTGACCCATTTCCCACTCCAACCTCCATTCCACCAGTAGCTTTTCTAACATGAAAATGACCATGATACCCTCATTAAGAGCTTTTCCAGATGTCTTCCTTCCATTACCATCTGCATTGTCTTTCATGATCTTACCCCAATACTGGTCCTCTCACCTGACATTCCCCCATTTTCTTTATGCTAGTTATTCTAAAATCCCCACTGTTCTGTTATCCTATGAGGCCTTCATGATCTCCTCAGTCCCAATTGAATGCTTCCTCTCTTCCTTACATCTTTTCATAGCTTCCTGAGACAAACTTACCCCCCATTTACCCTTTTATGGACATAATTCTTTTTTTCTTTCTTTTTTGGTGTTTCCAGACAGGGTTTCTCTGTGTAGCCCTCACTGTCCTGGAACTCACTCTGTAGAGCAGCTGGCCTCAAACTCACAGAGATCTGTCTGCCTCTGCCTTCTGAGTGCTGGGATTAAAGGTGTGAGCCACCACTGCCCAGCTAACATTTCTATTAAAGCAGTGATTTTTCTGATTCTCTTAAGAATTAACTGGCAGAACAACTGTGACATTCATTCTTGAGAAATATAATATGAGTTGTGGGAAACAAGTAGTCTACCTCTGCTTTTAATTTAGAGATTACAGAATGCCCTTCAGTTTGTACAGCTTAAGGATTTGACTAAATCCTGACTATACACTTTATGTCAATCTCAAAAATGGTACAAATTCTAGGATACCTAAACACTGACCTTTAAATGATAGTATTGAAGCAGCTCCTTATTTAAGCATTAAGGGGAAAGAGCCTGAAGCAACACAGAACAGGACATGGACATAACAAGATCTTGATGGTTTTCTACCAGAAAAAAATGTATAGTTAGGCAGGTCACAATGTGTACTGTAGATGTACTGACTCTCAGAATGACTATTCCTAGTTGAGATGTGTGTACGGTGGGGGTTACATTCCAATAGTCCCTGACTGAGCAGACCTAAATTATGAAGAACAATCCTTGCCTCATTGGTTAAGGGCTCATAGAAGGGATAGCTTTGGTATGTCAGAAAAGCCTAGATCATTCAAGTGAAGTCCAAGTGGACTGCATATTTCCAGTGTAACTATTATTGTGGATTGATAACTCAGACTGAGGAACGCACTACCCTGTGGCTAGCTTCCTGCCATGTTGACTGGTAGGAGTAGCAACATTCTGTCCTGAGGAGCTGGGATCCAGAAGTTCCTGGAAGTCATTCATAGTTAGAGGTGTGGTAAGTCATGACACAACTGGGTGGAGTAGCCTGAAATGTGGCATCAAGAAATAACAGCTAAAAGGATGACTCAAAATTAGACAGAATCCTTTTTTCCTCTAAATGCATTCATGAGAAGGTCTGACAAATAATTGTAGAGCAACTAAACCCTAGAGAGTAGGAACTGTAGTTTTTCACTGTAGCTTTAGGGCATAACTGAGTACCTGGCAGCAGTATATGTTTAGTGAATGGAACGAAAAGTTTAGCTGACTTCGTTTCTCAGGCTAGACAGCTGTTTGTACAAAAATTAGAGCTAATGGGTATACTTGAAGGAAGAGATGTGCCTGCTCAGAAAGCCAAGCTTTAGAAAAAACTAAGGCTAGTGTAGGGTTGATGTAATGGGAAGCCCTTGTAAGTTCTTGGATGGTATGATTAGTTTGGAGTATGACCAAGAATTATTGAGGAAACTAAATCTAAGTAAAAAGAAAAATTCCAGACCATGACATAGGGATATGAGCCTCCTAGAGAAATCTAGGCAAATACAACATAATCCTTTCCTGGCTTTCCTCCTACTTCATCAGCTTTTCCTTCTCACTTTACAGTTTATTGTTTATTTCCCACTTATTTTATTTAGTATGCGTGTGCACATTCTATATCATGTGTGTGGAAGTCAGAGGACAACTTCTGGAAATCTGTTTTCTCCTCCACCATGTGAATCCCAGGAATCGAACTTGGGTCATCTGGCTTGATAGCAAGTGCCTTTACCTGAGCTCTTTTGCTACCCTTTCTCAATCTACTCAAATAATGGCACCCCGCTGTCCTTTTCTTTATTCAATAGAAATACACTATTGCCAAGTCGTATGAACTCTTACCTCCCTTAAGTATCCATTTTTCTCATAACCCATCCAAGTAGTCTACTTAAAGTGTGTTCATGTAAGTTCCTAACTCAAAATGGCTCAATGGTTTACCATTTATATGAAATAAAGTACGAACTTCTTACCAATGCCTACAAACTCCTGATCTCTTTATTTCCCTAACAATATCTTGGTGTCTCCTGCCAAAAAATACTTTCCATCCTTTATTTCCTATGTACATCTCAACTGGGATATTTGGCTTTATTCCCTATGTACTTCTCTCCTATGGACATTTGGCAATGGCTAGAGCAGTTTAGGTTGTGATGGTTGGAGGCAAGAATGCTATTAAACAACATAGGGCAAGATAGCCTCCCACAACCAATAATTATCCAGTCCTAAGTAAAATTTTCCTGCTTTTAGTAATCCTAGGTGGGATATTTTTACCCCTTTATGTTAGATAGTTAGCGGGGTGATTCTGTCTCCTTCCCAGCAGTTTGCACAGAGTTTGCAAGAGGAGGCCTTTTCTTCTTTGATTGCAAAGTAGTATAGGCATGCACTGGAAGCTACTGAAGCAATGGCCCTTGGTATTTGGTGTCGCTAGCCTAAAAGAATAAGGACAAGACCCTGAAAGTTATCTTTCCCCTTTCAAAGAAGTCAAGGGTTGAATATTCCTTGGATGCCCGATCTCTGAGGCATGATTTTTGATAATACAAGAAGGTCAAACTCAACATCCCTAGCATCTTACACAGGCTTCTTTTGGTAACACCATTGGCTCTACACCCAGTTCCTCCTAAGATCTGCTTTTCCGAGAAAATTCACTGATAATACATCAAGTAATTTAAATTGGTCTCCTTAAGTTTTTCTGATTAGTTATCTTAGCCATTTCTTTTCTTTTAATTTCTTTTTCTTTTCTTGTTTTTCAAGACAGTGTACCTTTGGAGCCTGTCCTGAAACTGGATCTGTAGACCAGGCTGGCCTCGAACTCCTGCCTCTGCTTCCCTAGTTCTGGAATTAAAGGTATCTGCCACCAATGGCCAACTAGTTTAGCCAATCTCATACTCTGTTATTTTACTTTACTTGGAAACATTCTGATTTTCTTATCTATAAGAACTGGATGAGAAATAATATATATGATGTCATTTGATAATGCTCTAGATGAAAGTGACTATTCAGCACTATGCTGTATTATTACTGCCATTAGTGTTGTTTTGATTACCAATACTGACTCACCTGATCACATACTACTACAAGAAGCTATGTGCTGTTTCCCAGGAATATGCCCTTGGTCCAGACTGTCATTCAAGTAAGGATCAGTTCCCTTCTAACCAAGGGAAGGAACCCATTGTCTCCTTGTTATGACTTTCTAACTCTTAAGATGTGTCTATCACAATGAATTGAAATACACCTCTCGGTAAGTTGCACCTACTGTCCTTACTTGTGGCCTTTACAGCAATGGAATTTTATCATCAATTTCTCCTAAGGCTCTACTTAATGTTGGAAATACCTCTTGTGCTCTCAAGCTAAAAGTACTTTCTTGCAGTTTTTGAAGGCCTACTGAATAGTAAACTAATTCATTTTTTATTTGTTATACTTC